GTTTAGGTCTCAGTAAATACCCCCTTGTAAATACCTGGGTAAATACCCCCCTATAAATACTCCCCTATAACTACCTGGGAAAATACACCACACACACACTCCCAGTAGCTGGCCTGGCCCTAGAAGATCCCCCTGGGCACTGCCAGAGGGAGAGACAACCCTTGGGTAAATACCCTGGAGAATATCTGCCCCTTGCAGGCAAATACTTGCTCCAGAGGGGATGTCCCCTGGGGCAATAACTGGGCCTTGGGGGCATTCCCCCTGCCTGGGTCAGCAACAGGTAAATATCCCCCTCCCTGGGAAATCCTTCCCTCCTGGGTAAATAACCAGGCCTGGGAAAATATCCATCTGCAAGGTAATTGCCTTTAGATAAATACCCGCTTGTGGGGAGATAACCCTCCTGCCCCAAGTAACTGCCTGTAGCGAGATACTTCAGTCAGGGAAATACCCCCAGATAGCTAAATACTGCTCTGGGTAAATACCCACCATGTCCCTGCCCTGGGGAAGCGCCTCGGTGTGAGGCCTGGCCAGGCAGCTATCCCCACCACCACGCCTATCAGGGTAAATACCCCCAGGTAAGTATATCTGCACATGCTTCAGTCCCGTAACCGTCCCCAGCGCCCCCTGAGCCGGGTGAATATCCCACCAGCAGGAAAACCCATCTGCACATGCTGAAGCCGGGGCATCTCCTGGCCCACTGTGGCCCCGCCGGGTAAATAACCCTGTGCACAGCCCGGTACTCACTTGCCCTAAACACCTGGGTGAGTATTCCCCTCCCAAGAGCCCTGTCCAGAGAGAGCCCTCTGTCAGTCCCACAGCCGGGTAAATACCCACCCTGGCCCCTGCAAATACCCAGTGCCCCAGGGCAATACCTGCTCCCAGCTGATGGGACGTGCCTGGCCTGGGGCCGTCCCTTCGACTCCCCAGTCTGCGCAGCCCCAGTGGTGCTCGCTGGGAAATACCCCGGGTAAATACCCTGGGGAGGCAGGAGATGCTTCTGCCTCCCCCTGTTCCTCCACAGGGCTCGAGACTCTCGGTCACCATCCCTGGGGTCTGCAGCCGGTTCCCGGCAAACCCTTGCTCCCGCTGGCTTTTTTAAGGTCAACGCTATATTTACCCGCATCCCCTTGGTGCTGTCACTGGCAGCTGTGCCCAGGCTCAGGGTCTCCAGCCTTCCCCCAGGTCCCCTCCGGCTCTGCCCTTCTCCCTGCCTGGCCTGTTTTCCCCTCCTCCAATCCTCCCCGTGTTTCGGTGCCAGCCGGCCCGGTGTTCCCTCGTCCCCTTCTGCTCCGGGTGGTGCCTGTGTCCCCAGGGAAAGGGGAGCCCCCACTCCGAGCCCTGGGGTCACCCAGTTGGGGTGTCCCCCACGCTGATTGTGCCCTGTGTCCCTCTCCCCTCTGAATCATGCCCAGGGGCCTCCAGCCTCTTCCCCAAGTCTGGGCTCCAGCATCTAAGCTGGGCTGAACTGGGCTGCCCTCTCCAACAGGCTCAGTCGTGCCCTGTCCTGCCCCCACCTCAGGCTCTCTGCGGTCTCCCGTTAACAAAGGACAAGGGCCTACTCCTTTCCAGTCCCTCCCGGTATCCTGGCCATACCCACTGGTGGAGGGGCAAAGCCAGCTACACGTCACAGGGTTGACCCACCGCCGTCCCCTACCCCAGCCCCCCTCCTGCTCACCCTGACTCCCCGCACCCCTGTAGGCTCCAGCAATGCCTGTGAGAAGACCTCCTTCACCTTCCTGCGGCAGGAGCTGCCCGTCCGCCTCTCCAACATCATGAAGGAGATCAACCTGCTGCCGGACCGGGTCCTCCGCACCCCCTCGGTGCAGCTGGTGCAAAGCTGGTGAGCACCAGGGGCGCCAATGCTGTCTGTATGGCTCCTGTCACCCATGCAGGTCCCCCTGCCACCACAAGTCCCACCTCTGTCACCCCTGGGGTTGTTCCTGCAAGTCCCATGGCCATCAACTTCTAAGGTGCCACCACTGCCGGTCCCACTGCCACCATGGGTCCCACCAGCGTTACGCATGGGGATCCTACCCTCACCGCTGGTCCCACCACCATCACTTTCATGAGTCCCACCATTGTCACCCCTAGAGATCCCACCACCAGTCCCACCACCATGGGTCCCACCACTGTCACCTGCATGAGTCTTGCTGCCACCACAGGTCCTGCTGCTGCTGCTGCCTCTCCTCCCCGGGAGATCCAGGAGGATCTTCTGGGTGGGATGGTGGACAGGTGCTGAGCCAGGCGTAAGGCAGTGCCACGGAGAGGGTGCCTCGCCAGGCAGGACCCCCAGCCTGTTGGGGCCGTTCCTGGGCCGTGCCCCCACCTGACCAGGGTGGACAAGGGCTGCGGGGCTGTGGCACCTGGTGCCAGGCAGGGTGTCCCCAGCGCCAGTGCTGTGTCCTGCTCAAGCCTGCTGCCCCCCAAAAGGGCAGAGCCAACCCCGTCGACCAGGGGTCCGGGTCCCAGCGTGGGGGACAGGCTCTGGATGTCCCTTTAAGGGCCGTGTCCCCCTGCCAACTCGCAGCAGCTTGAACCTTATCCCAGTGCGGCCACGTGACGAGTTGTTTGTGCAGCGTCCTCAGCCCCTGCCGCCTGCGCAGCACAGCCCGGTGCCAGGCCTGCCCCAGGCAGGATCCAGCCGGGTCTCCCCTCCCGAAGCCCTTAGGGACTGGGAGCCCTCGTGGGGGGCCCCCCAAAGCATGTCCATGGAGAGTACCCCGAGTCACCCCTCTCCTGCCTGTTGCCCCCAGCCAGATTGGTGGGACTGTGCTGCCTGGCTGCTCCTGTCCCCATGCCTGGGGGGGTGGCGCTGCTCTGGGGGGGCCCTGCAAGCACGGGGAGCTTGAGGGGGAGCCCCAGGCTCTGGGGGCATCCCGGTTCTCGGGGTGCTGGGCCCCCTCTCCCTGCATGGGGCAGTGCCCTTGGGGGCACCCTGGGCCCCGCAGGCGCAGGGGGTAACCAGCTCCTTCCCCAGGTATGTTCAGAGCCTACTGGACATCATGGAGTTCCTCGACAGGGACCCCGAGGACCAGGCCACCCTGGGACAGTAAGTCAGGGAGGGGGGTGGCAGTGTGTCTGGGACACCCTGTCCCCAATCCCTGGGGTGTCACCTCCTCCCAGACTCACCCCCACGAGCACTGTGGCATCCTGCGTGTTGGACCCAAAGTGCCCCTTTTTGCCCACCCAAGGGCTGAGCATCCTGGTGCCGCCCGGAATCTGCTCCAGGTTTTCCCCAGTGCTGCTTGCTCCAGCCCTCGGGGAAACCCGGCCTGGATCATGGGCTCCTGCCTGGACTGGGGGCCCCAGCTGGCCGCTGCCACTCTCAGCGCCTTCCCTCGCTCCTGGCCAGGTTCACGGACGCCCTCGTCACCATCCGCAACCGGCACAACGACGTGGTGCCCACCATGGCGCAGGGGGTGATCGAGTACAAGGAGGCCTATGGGGACGACCCCGTGTCCAACCAGAACATCCAGTATTTCCTCGACCGCTTCTACCTGAGCCGCATCTCCATCCGCATGCTTATCAACCAGCACAGTGAGCCCGGGCATCTTTCCCCTGGGCATCCTCCCTGGCCCTGCGGCATCTTCCAACTACCCCAAGGGTCCCTGCTGGCGCTGGGTCCCCCCTAGCTCCAGGCATCTCTCTGCTATGAGATGCCCCCATGTCCTGCCCCACCAGCTCCTGCTTCCACCCCTATCCCCTGCGTCCCTTTCCCCGCCACCCGCGTGCCAGGGAAGGGACAGTAAGGCCAGCTTTGGGCATGCCCCGGGGTAGGGGGCTGCAGAGCTGGGGGTCCCTGGGGTGAGGTTGACTCCTGGGTATGTTTGAGGCTGAGCTTGGATCCCTGCTGCTCACCCAGCCCCTTCCCCGTCGTCTCCTCGCAGCGCTGCTCTTCGACGGCAGCACCAACCCGGCGCACCCCAAGCACATCGGGAGCATCGATCCTCACTGCAGCGTGGCCGACGTGGTGAGAGGTCTGTGGGGAGCCGGGGAGGGCACAGCTCCCACCCCGCTGGGGGCTGAAACGTGGGATTGCTAGGGCTCTTGGGGGGCTTTTGTTCTTCTCCCTGCTCCTTGGATCTTCTGTTTGGGAGTCATTTGTGTCACAAGTTGGGTGATCCTCAGCCAAGCCTGGTGTCTGAGGTCCCCTGTGTTTTGGAGTTGCTCCAGAGGAACCCAGAAACTTGCTAGATCTCTAGAAACACAGGATATTTGGGTGTCTAAGGCAGGGGCACCTCAGATCCTCCTACACTTTTGTGCCGGGGGTGCGTATGTGTGTTGATTCCTCCACTTCTCCCTTCACCAGATGCCTACAACATGGCCAAGCTGCTGTGTGACAAGTATTACATGTCCTCGCCCGACCTGGAGATTGAGGAGGTGAACGGTGAGGCGGGGCTAAGGGTCTGTGCACGGAGAGGGGTGGAGGTTGGGGATTCTCGGGTGGCTCGTTCAGGGTTGGGGAAGACAGGGAGGCTGAGAGCTGCTCTCCTTCCCGCAGCAAACAATTCCCAGCAGCCCATCAACATCGTCTACGTCCCATCACACCTCTACCACATGCTCTTCGAGCTCTTCAAGGTAAATCTCTGCATCTCTCTGGCTGGAGCCACAGGACACAGCACTGTCTGAGCCCATTGGGGGCAGGTGGGGTGGTAAAGTGTGGCTGGGGGACGGCGTGCCAGCAAGGAGGTTGCATGAGGCCCCATCCCTGTGCAGCCTCTGATGACCCCTTCTGGCTCCTTGTCCCGCAGAATGCGATGCGAGCCACGGTGGAGAGCCACGAGAACAGCCCGCGACTCCCCGCCATCAAGGTGATGGTGGCCCTGGGCCAGGAAGACCTCTCCATCAAGGTGTGTAAGGGATGACTGGCCACGTCTAGTCCTCTGAGGGCGATCCTGTGTATCAGGGCTGCTTGGGGTGGCAGCAGCAGGGCCGGGGGGTTAGCAACAGGGCCAGGAATGGGCCCTGACACCCCACCGCCTCTTGCAGATGAGCGACCGGGGCATGGGTGTCCCTCTGCGGAAAATCGAGCGTCTCTTCAGCTACCTGTACTCCACCGCTCCCACCCCGCAGCTGGGCACAGGGGGTGCCCCCTTGGTAGGTGTCACGGGACCTGGCACAGCTACCAGGTGCTGGAGGCACATGCGCAAGCCTACCTGGGGGTGGCCTGGGGACGTTTAGGGGTGTCAGGGGTTGGCCCGGGGAGCGGCATGGGGACATTTGGGAGTGCCTGGAGGTGATGTGTTGACTTTTGGGGCTGCATGCGGTGCTGTTTGGGATGGTGTGGTGACATCTGGGGGCACCATGGGGACACTTGTGGGTGCTGGGCCTGACGTTGGAAGACTGTAACCGCATCTCCCTCCCCACGCAGGCTGGCTTTGGCTATGGCTTGCCCATTTCCCGGCTCTACGCCAAGTATTTCCAGGGTGATCTGCAACTCTTCTCCATGGAGGGCTTCGGTACAGACGCTGTCATCTACCTAAAGGTGGGTTTTCCCCCATTGCCTGGTCTCTCCGCCTGGGCCCACGAACCCCCCAGGGGCGCAGGGCCGTCCCCAGCCGCCCCCTGTCTCCCGCAGGCCCTGTCCACGGATTCGGTGGAGCGATTGCCCGTCTACAACAAGTCGGCCTGGCGGCACTACCAGGCCAGCCAGGAGGCCGGGGACTGGTGCGTGCCCAGCACCGAACCCAAGAACACGTCCACCTACCGCGTGCCGTAGGCCAGGGCCGCGGGGAAGAGACGCGGATCCAGCCGTGGGTTTAAGCTTCCTTCGCAGGCTGTAGCTAGCCCCTACCCAGGGCGCTGGGGGGCTGCGGGCCCCCCCACCCCGGTGCCTCCCTGGTGCATCCGGGGTGGGGGAGTGTTTTACATGAGCATCTTTTTAGTAGCCTGGTTTCGGCTTTCCGCCGGGGGAAGCTGGAGCCGGGGTGGCTTTTTTTTATTGCTCACTGGGAAGCGTGTGAAACGCGGGGTGGGGGTTATCGCTGTATTGGGGGGGGTGTCTAGTGGGGAGCAGCGCTGTGGGGTCCCTCACCCCCAGGTTTGGTGGCACTTTGGTACATAGCAGGGGGTGGCAGAGGGGCACCCCATACCCCCATGGAGCTGTGTTAAGGGGAGGGGGGTAGAGCCCCTGCCCACCCCTCCAGCACCCGCCCTGGGGTGGGTACGACGCAGGGGCACCCAGGGGTGGCGAGGGGCTGGCCCTTTCCGGAGTTGCCAATAGCACTTCCCTGGCTCTCCAGGCTCCCTGGGGTGGGGGGGACTGGGCCTGAGACACCCCCCCCACCCTGATTCCCTGCCTAGTCTCTGGTATTGCACTACTGAGCTGTACTCACCCGCATGTGTGCGCCCACGTGTGTGCACCCACGTGCACACCCGTGCGGGCTGGTTCCCCACAGCATGCTTGGACCTGCTCAGGAATCTCTCTCTCCCCCTTTCTCTTTTTCCTTCCTTCCTTCCTCCCCTCCGTCTCCCACCCCGTGTGGTCAGTAAATTGGATGTTGACTGAGCTCCTGTCATGGCTTTTTGGGGCCCCAGGACCCTCGCCACCTTCTCCCCTGCCCCAGTTGGATTATCTGTGTCCTGGGATGGGGGCCTCGCTCTTGGGCCTCCCACATGGCATGGAAGAGCTGTCACATCCCAGGACCCCTGGGTCCCTGGTCCATCAAGTCACTGCCTCTTTGTGCCTCAGTTTACCTGTCCCGGGATCACGTAGGCTTGGGAAGAGGCTATTGTGTCCCACTAGCCTGGGCACAGTCACAGGGTGGCACATGGGGACACTAGTGACACGTGGGGACACTGGTGGCTCAGGGTCCCTGCCCCAGGGAGGGAGAGCCAGGCTGCAGCCAGGTGCTGGGCTCTGTCCCTCCTCTCCCATTGCCCCCCACCAGCCTAACAGAGTTGCCCCCCACCTTGTCTCCCAGCCCCATCCCGGTCCGGCTCATACTGGTAGCACTGGTTTGCACTGGCCCTCGTTACCCTTTTATTTCCTGGGGTGCCACCCGTGCCACTGGCGGGCCGGGTCGGTTTGGTTTTATATGGGAAAGGGGGGGGATCAGCGTTCGCTTACCACATCCTGACTTGGGCTGCGTGCGTTTGAGGGTGCCAGGCCATGCACTGTCCTCGGCCGGTGCTGCACCGTGCCGGGGGGTGGGGGCCAGGGTGGAGGGGTGGCTGGGACCCCTAGGCCCTTTGGGGCGTGGGGCAGCCAGAGGTGTTGGGGACAGGGTGGGGGCTGACGTGCCATTTGCATCCGGAAGAGGGGCCCAGGCCCCGGTCTGTGCCCGTGGGGTGGAGGGTGCAGGTGGGGAGGGGGCGCATGGAGGAGGGGGGCATGTGCTGCTCTGTTCCCGTCTTGGCCTGGCACCACGGTCCCTTCGCTACGGTCGGCGTGTCCCGTGCTGGAGTCTGGTGCCCCCCAGGCATCCTGGAGGCTGCAGGCAGGGGAAGGGGTGCTGGGGCACTCCTGGCCCCTTCTAACTCCTCCGCTGCTCCTGATCTTTCTTCTTCTGCTTCTCCCGCTGTTTCTCTGCCTTCTCCTGGGCCTTGCGCTCCTTCTCTACTGCCAGGCTCAGCTCCTTCAGCTTCCGCTTGAGCACTGCGCGGTCCTGCGAGTTGCTCACGCCCAGTGCCTGCCAAGACATGTGCGCGCTGGCCTCTGGGGGTAGATGTAACCTTCTCCCTGTCCTGGGGTGCCAGGATGCCCCTGCACCTTCTGCCCTATGAACTGGCCCATTGGGGTACCTGGAACCCCCCTGCACCGCTTGCCTTGTGGATCATCCAGGTGAGGTACCTAGAACTCTGCACCTTCTGCCCTGTGCACTAGCCCTTTGGGATACCTAGAGTCCCCCTCCATGTGCTTCCTGCCCCCTTGACTAGACTGTTGGGACACCTGGAAGCACCCTCCACCTCCTACCCCTGGACCAGCATGTGGGATTGCTTTGAGCCTTTTGTCCTGTGGAGGAGCCTAATGGGGTACCTAGAACCCCACATGCCTCCTGCCCCATGGAGCAGCCCACTGAAGTGCCTAGAACCTCTTGTGCTATGAATGAGCCCTTTGGGATATCTAGAGCCCACCCAGACCTCCTTGCCCTGTGGAGACCTCCTTACCCTTGTACCTGTGGGGTACCTAGAACCTCTTGCCCTCTGACAGCCTGTCGGGGTACCTAGAACCCTCCACACCCCAGTGGAGGAGAGAGATGCCCACCCCTGTACCTTGAGCTTGGCGCTGTCGAGGTGCAGGAGCCGGGGACCGTCAACCCCATGGGCTGAGAACTCGTCCACGTACTGCTCCAGGTTGAGGCTCTCCAGCCACTGCCCGACCTGCTGGCATGTCCAGCCTGCAGCTGCGCCGGGGGGCTCATCCAGGAACTGGGCACAGGGGGCCAGGGTTAGCTGGGGGGGTGGCCAGCCTCACAGGGCCTGGGGCAGCAGTGTGGGGTGCAAGCAGAGCAGGGAAGCTGTGGGGCTATGGCAGCGGGGTCCCCGGGGCTCACCTCATCGGAGGACTGCGACAGTGTGTGATAGGGGTAGGAGCACTTGGTGGCCGTTGTGCCACTGGGCAGCCGGGGGCTGGAGCTGGGTGGCGTGGAGTCATCACTCAGCGTCGATTCCTGGGGCAGCAGGAGACAGGAGGGCAGAGCTGGCCCCATGACTGGCCCCTATGGGGCTCCGGCACCAGCCTATAGCACCTTGTCCCTATGGACCCCCCACCCTCCCATCTAAGTACCTACTCCTATAGTTATCTCAACCCTATAGGGTTCTGACACTCTCCCATATAGCTCTCCTCTCTTATAGGGCTCTGCCACCCTCTAGAGCTATCTTGACCTTAAAGGGCTTTGAGACCCTCCCCTATAGCTATCCAGTCCTACCGTGCTCCACCTCCCTCTCTACAGTTAGATCCATAGGTGCGCTGAAGTCCTCCCCTATAACTTCCCATGTCCTCCTGTATAGCCACCCATCCCTCTAGGGTTTGGAGGCCCCTCCCTTCCCAGGCGATGCGCCAGTCCCCGGGCACTGACCTGGGAGGCAGATTTGGCAGGGCTGAGGCCCTCGTGCCGGGGCGAGCTGGCGGGCGAAGCAGTGCCCGGGGAGGCCGAGCCCTTTGTGCCGTCCGAGAACCAGGAGAAGGGCAAGAAGGGCGAGCCCGAGGGGCGGCCAGGGCCCTCTGCCACCTCCCTAGGGACAGAGCCATGTTAGGGTCTTCTTTGCTCTGTGCCCGACCCTCTCCCTGGGCTATTGTGGGGGTCAGGCAGCTCCCTCATCCCGGGGCTGCTGTGGGTCCTGGCCCCCCCCTCACCTGCTGCCCATTGACAGGCGGTTGCTTCCCTTCTCCTTCTTGCTCTTGCTGGAGGATGCCCGGCGGAGGGTCACCCTATGGGAGAGGGAGTCACACGGCAGCTGGGGCATGGGGGGCCAGGTGGGAGGGGAGCAAGGTGCCTCAAGGGCCATGCTCCCCCCTGGCCACCTAGCCAATGTATGTCTCTGTCCCTCCATGCATCCCTCCATGCATCCCTCCATCTATTCCTCCATCTCTCCATCCCTCCATGCATCTCTCCATCATCCATCCATCCACCCATCCATCCCTCCCTACCTGAACCCTTCCATCTGCTTCTCCATCCAGATACCCAGTGCTCCATCCATCCCACCCCAGGACCAGGACTCACCCTAGATCCAGGAACTTCCTCCGCGTTTTCTTATCCAGCCCCACAGTGGGGCTGGCCGGCTCG